ATAGGAAATTTGTTTACGTATTATGCAAAATGAAAAATATGTAAATATATGAAGAAAAGCATTGAAAATCCATTTTTTTATTCAATAATAAATTATATACCGCTCAGTATTCATGCCACTTAGTTACGGTTGGTCGCTTGTACTTAGCATTTAAATGCTTATTTTCATATTTTATTTACATGTATTTTTTAATCTATTATGTGAAACTTTTATAGAAGCCTGAGAGTGGAAAACTTCAGCTATAACCAAACACTTTGTCACGCTCATTTAGAACAACTGTTCTGCGGCGTTACAATATTATTTAGATATGAGAAATCTATATATATTATACATATTCTCGTATTATAATTATATATATATTATATTTAAAGTCTCTATATATTATAAACTAATAGCTGTTTTCAATTGGTCGAGTTTTGGAGAGTGACAAATCGAACAACCAACTGGTATAAATCAACTGAAATGGCATCAAATGTATAATATAGAAGAGTTATATAATTTTACTGCGTTAATTTCCTACTTTTCTGTATTGAATTCTACTGGACAAGCTTGTTGTTGCATTCAGCAGTAAGTTTTGTGACAAGAGAGTAACTGTAACGTAAAACCAACACACAGCCACAAAAATAAAATTACAGTACTTGACTTGCAATGAAATAACCGACTGAAGTGGTCTAAAAAGCCGAAACTCCAAATAAAAACTCGTCTGGCGAATTCTTGGTTTACATAGAACTCGAATGCAAATGAAAACAAAAGGAAACCAGTAAATATGGCATGGAATTGGAAAATATATAAAAGGCATTTTAAGTTAATTTTAATTTATTTTTTATTTCAATACTCTTAAAGATTTCTACAGAAGTTGAGTGGGTTGATGTGCCACTACTATTTGGTTGCTGGTGAACTCGTAAGTCCGCCGCAGATATTAAGAAGGTAAAGGAAATATTTATTAATTTTTCTGTTCAAAAAAGAAAAAAAAACAAACTCTTGAATAATTTTGGGTCATTCGGAGCAGCCTCAAGCCACAAACAACTGTTATAAACGTAAACATTACAGGGTTGTCATGCAGCAATATTTAAGAAAAGTGCCTTTTCTAAAAAAAAAGTTTGACAGCTTAAAAAAGGCGATTTTTGGGAATTAAAGAAAATTAAATTTAAAAAAAAATGTTGGTCAAATTTTTTCTGTCAAAACTCATAGGTCATAGGTGTGAAAGTATTCCGTTTAAATTCGCGCTATCTACCTATTGAGCCTGATAAAGGTTTCTTCAGCTCAAATTTATTAATCCTAACTTATTTATAATATATTTAATACTTTGTGGGCTAACTTTTCGCTAAACAGAATCAGTTATTAAGAAAATGACGAAACAGAAAGCAAATATGGAGATAATTTATCATAAAAACTAGCTGATCGGGTGTTTGGAAAAAACTTATTAATTGTTCAAAAGCTGAGTTAATGGAAAACAATTTTAAGTCTTTGGTAAAATTACGATCTATTTAGACTCAATTCTAGTAAAATAAGAATAAACATTAACTTCGTTTGCAGCTGGAATAACCATAATAATAAAAAGTTTTCTATGTAAGAACTTGATTTTGATAGTTTCTATGACAGACATACCGTATACTATACGACGGTGTTCCAACCGGCGTTTTCTTCTGCGTGTTAAAGACTTCGTGGCAAATTAAATATAGTCTGTATATAATATTATATATATTTTTTTTTAATATTCAGATTTTTTAAAAAATATAAAATAAAAACTAATATATTTAATACAAATCGGAATAAGCTGCAGCGTTGGCTTACTCTTCTAATGGTATTACTTATATTATTACGTAACATTACTTATTACGTAACTCTATTACGTAAAAAATTTGAAAAAAAAGTTCATTGAAGTACTTCCAACTCCACTATTTGCAAGAGTACTTAATACGCATTGTAGGTTGTCGAATTGACGATAAGAATATATATGTATCTATATGCCTATTTATGTGAATACTTATATATGTACATATGTTGCTAAGCATAGTCACCCATATATGTAACAAACATTGACTTTATTTACTTTTGAAACTGTGTATGAAACTAATTACCGGAGTGGCTAGGTAAATAGGTTCGCAGAAAAATCATACGTACACAAACTACATATGTGTGTACATTTATTTATATATATGAATATATAAAAAAAAAATATATATATTTCTATTATAATAAATGCTTAGAACCATATGGCTTTAAATATTTGCCTCCAAAACGGTTCACTCACCCAAATCACAAGCAAATTTGTGCTAAATAAATATAAATACATAGGTAACAGTAATTGTCATATTCTACTTTTGTAAAATAAATTCTAAGCATATAGAAAAACCTCAGTTCGAACGCAGTCTTAACTGAAGTGAGTAAAATGAAAATTGTGTAAACATTTTCTGCGGCATTAAATTTCCTCGCTGCATTCGACCTTAATTTTTTGCTTACAGTGCGTATACGTAACTAGAGTTGCGGTTGGCTACAAAAATGAAGAATAACAACAAAAAAGCATGCACACGCACTCTAGGCCGTTTGCACGCATATATATTTATGCACAAATGTATATATGTATGCGCTTATGTGTATGCATAGGTATAATATCTCGAGCCGGCAGACAGGCAATGAAATCCAAGACGCGACAAATATTAAATAAAAAATAGAAATAAATATATTTTCATTAGAACAGTTGGGTAAATAAAAGTGTAATGTATGTAATGTTATGAGTGTGTGCTTTATTGCAAGCATCTACGTACATATATACATATATATATATATTAATTTCTTGTACTCGCACAAATGTATGTATGTATGTACATAAAGAGTTTTGTTTAACTTGCAATTCAAACAGCTTATTTTAACATGTCTGCTGACTTCATAAACATGAGATCGGTATATACGTAAATATATAATAGACTTATATTAAATATACTTTATAAAATAATAAAAAAATTAAAAAGAGTTTTAATAAAAGAAAAAATAAAAAAAAACACGTTAACTTAAGAGGTTAGGAGTAGTCAGTATTTTCGAAAAATCGATATTTTTGAATTTTTTAAATATAATACCATATTTTAGAAATATTCTCCAAAACTTTAAGTAAATCTGCCAAATACTTTTCGAGTTATTTGATAACTAGCAAACGGTTCTCGCGCGCTTTGCAACATTCGGTATGTTTTTGGCAGTTGCACTGAGCACACAATAGTCGTAAATGAGTAAACTGAGTGTAAAGCTTCAAATGCATTTTTCTTAAAACTATGTGTTTTGAACTGGTGGCCACAGTAGCGTAAAAGCGGTTTGCTGGATTTCAATGAAATTTATATAGCCTTTTAAACACATGAAAAACTAGTGCCTGTTCGAGAGATTTTTTTTTAATTCCGATATTTTATAAACAATTTGCTGTTAGTTTTTTCCCGAAAATGTGGCAAGTAAATTTTTTTGAGATAGTCATTTTGTTAACTAAAAAAAACACAAGCTTCGATTAGACAATAGATTATTTATTAATAAATGTAATTTTTTTTGTACTACTGCTTTTAAATGCAAATCCACGGATTAGTGATGGTCAATGCAAGGAGCCATTACTTTTAAAATTATAAATTTTTTTTTTAACTTTTGGAAAGTCAAGTCGAAACCTTAAAACTGATGCTATGTTTTTAATTTTATAAAACAAAATAATTTAATTAATTAATTTTTAATAAAAAAAAGTATATAAAATTTTTGTTTTTAATGTCTCTGACTACACCTAACCCCAAAATACCCTTTACAAATGTATTTTTTACAGCATAAAGGGGTATATTAAAATTTACAAACTTTGCACAAAAATATTTGAAAGAACCAGTTACAGTGCTGTTGAAATACACTACACCAAAATATTAAATAAAAAATTGGAGAAACTTGAGTACCAATTGTAAACTTTCAAGCTTTATAATTAAATTTTTGACATATTATTAAACATACATATGTGTTGTAAAAACATTAGAGTGTAAAAGTTGAGTTTAATATTCATAAAAATGAGTTTCACAATTGTTTTTTTTTTAATTAAGAGTGAGAAAGATGTTGAAAAACAATAAAAGACAGAAACAGAATTTATATCGAACTACTATTTTTGAGTATGTCATATAAAATTAAAATACAATTTATGAATTGAAGATGATATTAATTATCTTTAATTCAATATTTTTTATAAAAAATGTATTATTTCGGATTTTAAATATTTTTATTTATTTATATCACTATTATATTTTAAATTATTACACTTAATTTTTTTCTAATTTTTTTATAAATAATTATTCACCGAAAAACCTCAATTTAAATCACTCAACACAGCTTACGAACAAAATTATGCAACTTTCATGATGTAGCGCACTCTTGACACCCTCCACACGCAAAAAGAACTGCAACCACATTAAAAAAGGGCAACAAGCGCGGTGTCTTTATTATCCACGAGCCGGCTCTTGCGTTCGCGTACTATCACTATTATATTACGGTAAAAAAGTAACGAAACCAAAAACAACAATACAAACGCAACACAAGCAAAAGTAGAAAGAGAGGGGGCGGAGAGCATTGCAACAACGTTTGTTGCATTTATTTACGTTTTCGGTCGTCAACCTGCTTGTTGTTGTTTGTAGCTTATGAAAATTTTGAGCGGGAAAAAGTGATAATAGGCCGCATGTGGTACCCCACACGACACAAAGTTCATATGGGAGGGGTTCTCCACCATAGTGTAGCGAGCGCTGTCCCAACCGACATACCGGAAGCACAAAAGAGAGCAAGTGAGTGCGCATAGAAAAGCGGAAATGTTACGAAGAGCGCGCTAGAGAGCGCCTATGTGGTGGAGCAGGTTGCACAGAACTCAAAGCAACTTTTTCGCATATCCTAAAGGATAAAATATGCTATCATCGACGTTTTAGACGCAAGTAATATTTTTACGTCCCCTTGTTTTATACATCATAGTTAGAAAAGTGTGCAAATAAATTAAAATAGAATCTAACCTGCTTGCGATATATTTAAATGCATGTTGTTTAATTTTTGCTTTGTGAAGACACCAGAATATTCTTGTAGAGCCGCTGCAAGGAGTAGACGACTCTTGCGTGCGTTTATGTGTGTGGCGCACCTTTTTTCACAAGCTCAGAGACAGCATACCGTTTATTGTATTTTACACTATGAAAATTTTTCACTTGTAAATTTTATATAAAAATATTTCAAATACGCTTGCACTTTTATTGCGAATTAAATTTGCAATTTCCGACTCCGGCACAAGCTACAATTGCAGCTTATTCATTTACACCGCACAATCAACTCAATGCATTCAACTGGCTAGCGCTCGCTGCGTCCAACTCGACTGCACAACGCGAAAGCTTAAAAACGACTGACTTGAATGCCGTCACGTAAATGACTGAACCAGTTATGTTGGCTCTTGCCGTTAGTGATAGCAGAGTTGGAGCACAACACCGGAGCTTCGGCCAGCAGCAACAACTCCAACATAATGAGATGAAGTACTCTTAGCGACTTTCATACATCCACTTAGCAATTGGCCAACTTTCGGAGCGGCATAAATGGTTGCGTGAGAGCGTTACTTACTCTCTCTTTTGCCAGATTTGTGGTATCCCCATCTCGAATAGTTGCAAATACATTGCCTCTCAAGGCAAGCGGGTGTTAAATTTTTGTAAGAAGTGTGCTTGCACTACATTTATGAATGAATATTGAGCTTTTTGAAAGCGATTTTGGTAAATCAAGCAAAGCTTCTGCAGAATTTAGTCGGGTTTCATTTTTCACTGTCAACTACAGTAGCTTAATGAAATGGAATTTCGCTAAGTGAAGAAATATTTGATAAATAATGTGGGTATTTATTCTAATTTTCCCAATATTATGGTAAAATTTGAAGTAAAACATTTGATTTTTACACTTTTTACTAAATACTTACCCGAGCTTGTTTTCAGTTCAGTTCATTCCTAGAAGAGGCGTCCGAATGGTCCTTGAGTTGGCTATCAATTTTTAGCTATGGGTAGAAGTCCTTAAATTATACTCTTAAGTTTGCCACGAAGGATATGTGGGAGACCCTATAAAATTTATATAAAAAGGATCAAGGTGATGAGCTGAGTCGATTTAGCAATGTCCGTCTGTCTGTCTGTATATACGCGGATTAGTCCTCAGTTTTTGAGATATCCATCTGAAAATTTGCAGAAGCTGCTCATTTGTCGGAACCGCCAATATCCGGTCGGATCTCTATTGCCATACAAACTGCTCAAAATCAAGCTCTTGTAGAAAAATGTATTTTTTTTGACAAAATATCTTTTCGAATTTGGAAAGGATTATTATCCAAATAACGGTACAATCTTCGAACAAATTATTTAGACCGATAGCATATAGCTGCTGCACAAACTAACTGATCCAAATCAAGTTCTTGTATGAAACCTTTTTTGTTTGTATTATAGCGTCAGGTTTAACCGAAGTGAACGTTTTTTCTTGTATTTCTATATAATGATTTAAGAGGATTATTCATTAAAGCCATCATATCAAATTCGTTTGGACTTAAATATATCACTTTTCCAATTTATATGTAAAAAATACTCCTTTTTCCCAAAAGTAATAAACTAGTCAAAGAAATATATTCGATGACTTTCCGAAAAGTAATCGGTTTTTGCTTTCCAAATCACTATCTCAAAAATTCCTCAGTTGTAGAAAAAATCCCTCATTACATATGAACAAAAGAAAATCATAGCAAAACAAAGAAATAAACAAAAAATAGGACTCTGATCTCGACAATCTGCAGTAACTCCGTACGATAACGCAGCTAAGCGATTTAGTTCAACAAATTAGTATTTCGAAAACTTTCCACGCTGATATTGGTTGAACTGGCACAGTAAATATTTGCACACCTTGCGACGGCAAAGGTAAATACACTGCACAGCTGCAAAAGCTTATAAACACAATATTTTGTGCGTTAGCTTGGAATTTATACGCACATAAATGGATGGTTAGAGACAAGCGAACAGGTAAAACAGGAATGAGAGTTCATAAGAAATACCCTGACGAATTCACTAAACCGGTTTAATGTCTAATGCTTGGAATATAAATACATAGTGAAAATGCTGTTAAAGATCAGGCATGCACTACTGGAGATCACCAATCATCCAGTGACAAAGCAATCCGCTATCATTATCAATAATGAGATCATCATAACTTCAGGATGCATACTGCAGCCATATGTGCGTCCAGTGGCACCTTTTCAAACGCAGACCGATAGAGAGGATGTCTGTCCCAGCACAAAAATCATATATAAATTACATCAATGCAAGTTAATTAATGTGCAGGAAGGTAGTAGCGATGAGGCGAAGCATTTAAGTGCGCTGAACTATCAGGTGACATTCGATAGACGTAAATTACCAATGTCGAATGCACGACGAAAACAACCACATATTCTCACACGATATTGCGCCAAGTTGTTATATCTCTTCAATTCAGCGGAGATTTCACGACATGTATTGCGCTTCCTGAACAACGATCGTACGGATAGCTCATCCGAAACGCATAATGCTGTACTGCTTTCGAGTTTTCTTGTGTTGAGTATGCGTTGTGACGGTGTAAAAGAGAATTTCGAACGCTTTCTACGACATATTGCACACTATCTTCGTTATTTGCAGCCAATACACACACTGGACGATGTGCTGGTGATGTGCACACCATTCGGTCTAGAAAACTTCTATAAGACTATCAGCATTGGCAAAGTGTCAAATGTTATGGGCCGCGATGGTTGTCTCTTTGTGCTGTCTAATGCTTTGGCGCTGGGTTGTGAGGGTGCGGCAGTCTTCAATAACAAATTGTAAGCGTTATATTCAATTTACGGGAAATGTAATAATGTAAAATTTTGCATTTTCAGGCGTTTAATAGGTATGATAATGTGCACTTCCTTTCAGCGACAGCAAGAAAATGTCAATTTGACCTTGGCGGCCAACTTTGCGTATTTGCTGCGCGATTTCATGCAGCAACTAGGTTTAAATATTACTTCAGTGCGAGTACCAAGAGATTCATCAAATTTTCCATGTAATTGAATCTAATAATGCGTATTTTGAACTTAGTGCTATTAAAGTTGTACTTTGCAGGGGAGCGTGCTATGGTTGTAATTGAAGCAGCGGGGAGCCAAGGTACTGGCACATTTATTAAAGTGTTGAACAAAAAGTTTATACTTACTTGCACACACGTTGTATTCAAGGTAAATATGTATAAGTATATGTATATATTATAATAAAAATACTACAATGTTAACTTTTAAATAAGAAATTAAGACACTAGCACTAAAAACGCTTGTAATTACGCGCTCATTAACAATCATTGTATAAATCTACTTATACAATGTTAACAACTGTCAAATAGTTTCCGTTTGATCGCCTATTTTTTTTGCTTGAACGGACGCCATTTAAATTTTGACATTATTTGCACCACTAACGCCATTTCTAATTTCACACATTTTTTGCATGCATTTACGTCATAAACTTTGCGCCATTAATTATATTTTGTGGAAAATATTTCTCCAACCACAAGTTAAATTCGAAGGCAGTTTGTCGCAGCGTGGACGGTGAGTTTGAGTCGGAAGTGCTATGGCGTAATCCGCAATACGATCAACCCTTTGATGTCGCTTTGTTAGCTGCACCGGATAATATTCCCGAGCGCTACTGTGTACGTTTATCCGGTGCCAAACCAACACTGGGTCAGACAGTTTATAATGCTGGCTTTCCTTATTTCGTCAACTTTAATTTAAAATACGATTTCAACCCAGCAATATTTCAAGGGCGCATAATTAAATGTTCACCGGGCGCTATTATGTCTGATGGCTGCGTACAGGCTGGCCAGAGCGGTGGTCCGATGTTTGATGAACAAGGGTGTATTCTGGGTATCTGTGTGTCAAATATAAAAGTTGGAAATGTGGTCTACCCTAATTTAAACACCGCCGTGCCTATTTGCCAGATACGCACATGGTTGGAGCAGTATGCGCGTACAAATGGTAACCAGGTTCTATTTAATGTGATGTTATGCCTTAATTCGTATGTAATTGTTTTTGCAGATATAAAAGTGCTTAGTAATTTGGTAGCCAATAAGGAAATGCAGCGCATATGGGCGTTGGAATCGTCTCCAATACTTAGTAAATTGTAGCCGTAACGATAACGTTACAATGTACAATTTTTATTGTATGAAAATCGGATACTAGCTCATATGGACTTAATTACTATTAAACTGCGCTATGTAAATATATATTTGTTTATAAAGCAAAAATCGCGTGCTAGCCACACTTTGAAAAGTATAAAATACAAACTTCAATCAAAACAAAATCGAAATTTAGTTCGCTCTATTTACACAAACATACGAAAATTGTTTTGGTAAGTTTCAAAGAACATTGTAATTATATATTTCTTCAATTTATATTTAAATTAATACACATATATATATAAATATATAGTTGTAGATATTTTTACATCTACATTTCTTCGATACGATTTATCAGAAGCAGAAATAATAATATATAATAGATATATTTATGTATGCACATTTCGGTCTATGCACTGATTGACATGCTCTTGCAAAGTAGTTAGAGACGAACAGGTAATTGAGCATATTGGACATATGTGTTGGGGTTTAGTTGAAGCTGGTGGTGTCAGAGTAGTGATGTCCTGTAAATAATATTTCTAATTTTTTTTTTTGTAAAACTAAATTGCACATAAATATTGGCAACTACTTACTCTTGAAGCAGTTTTTGGTGGAGTGACTTGTTGCCTTGTTAAAGAAGTTTGACGTTCCTCCAACTTACTAACTAGTTCGCTTAATTCATGATTTTTGCGTTGGAGTTCACGCAAGTCGTCTATCAGTTGTACCTTCTCGCCAGCCATCTCTTCGCGTGCAGTGCGCTCTAATTGAAAGTCACGACTGTAGACATCCACTTGCTGGCGCAGTACATCGAGTTCTTCACGCATTTCAGCGCGTTGTGAGGCGTAAATCTCAAATAGTTCAGTTTTCTCTTTGTCATTAGCTTTCAACAAAGCTATATCGGTTTTTAGTTGATTAACTAATTCCTCAGAAACGGTGAGATTTACTTTGAGACAATTTATTTCATCGACATATTGTTTTTGCTGTAGTGAAATAAAATTGTGTATATGAGATTTTGAGAATTAAGAGATTTGGGATACTATGCATTTTAGTTACACATTTTATATATTAGTTAAAATACATACCATATCGTTGATTTCCAGCTTCTCTGCCAGTAATTGTGACATATTGCGTTCAAAATTTTTAATTACACGTTCATGTTCGAGTCGTGTAACATATTCAGACTTCTCTGAATTTTCGTCGTTCTTTCCTATTTTTGAAATGACCTCAAATGACGACTGCAAAATTAAGTGTACAGTATACAGTAAGTTAAAAGCTGAATGTTTATGAAGATTTATACTAACAAGTTGTTGTGTTTCCAAATTTTCAATTTGTGTGCGCATATTGGCGATCAGTGCGGATTTTTCGGAAATATTTTTTACAAGTTCCTCGTGCTCCAGTTTTCGTACAGCTTCGTAGGCCTGAATTTGCTCAATTTTTGACTCCAATTCACTTTTTAAATTTATGTTTTCATTACGTAACTGTAAAAATTAAATCACAATTAACTCATATACATACATATATGAATGAATGCTTCAAGTACTCACTGTAGCTATTTGTTCTTGACATTGTTGCAACTTCTGACGGTTTTCCATATCGTTAGTTTGCATTTGCTTTTTCATTTCTAGCCATGAACTCATTTTGCTGTTAACTTGCATGAGCAGATCTGAAACATATTTGTTGTTATAGAATTTTTTTTTCAATTTTACGTGACATAGTCTTACATACCTTTCATTTTGAGATAATCACTCATAACTGTTGTGAGCTCCTCGCAAGCTTCTAAAGACACACTTGGAAATTGTGAATGGATACTGGCCTGGAATACACAAATGTTCAAATTATTACTATGTATAAAAAGTATACCAATTAATTATTGTTAATTTCATATATCCTTCACCTCACCTGCGTTCTCATAGACAAGTTTTACACTTTGAAACATTCTAAAAATGACTGTGAAATAAATTACCTTTAGTGCATCAGCTGGCACCTGACCCATTATATAACTCACAGCCATGGAGTTTGTTAAACTCTCCTTTGTATTAGTTTCACTTTTTTGCTCTACAGCACTTGTTTTCGGTATGGCCCCAGTTTTAGCACTTTCTTTTACGCTTGTATCGTCATGCTGAAGATCACCGGTATCTTTCGGAACTATGCTTTGATGAGCGGACGCTTCCATTGCTTTTGCCGAGTCAACGCTTCTTTTCCAAACTCCATGTCCAATAAACTGTCCAGAGTTGCTATCGGGCGCCTGTGTAGGTTTGCTGGCCGATGCTATTGCTGTGGTTATGGAGTTAAATTTTTCATCATTTAATATTGGTTGGTTGACTTGTGTTGGAGTCGTATCTTTTTTATCGGCTTGTGCTGTTGCATTCTCATACATTGAAATTAGAGAATTTGGTTCTGACCAATCCTTCAAAACTTCAAAAGAGTCGAGATCTGACATTATCCACACTGAAGTTCCTAAAATGAAAAGCAGCTCTCAAACACATAATTATTTTGACCCATATATTAATAAGGGATTCCCCTTATAATCACAATATTATCACATTCTATTTTACGATTTTCGTAATAATAATGAATCACCTCACAAAGAAATAGAAGCATATCTATAAATATAGGTATGTGTTTTTACACTCACCCACTAATGCGCAGTGATGAAATATTGTAAATTTTCACAAAATATTTATATTTGCAATGTAAATATCTATTTTGCTTTTGTCAATTGATCAATTCTGTAAGAAAATTGTGATTTATTTACTTACGCTGCAGTTTTTCTGGGAAAGAATGCACTACAAAATAAATAACTTGCAGCCGATGCGCTTTCCGAATAAGGGATGGCAAATTAAATGCCGATTCAACTCGCGAATCGATTTTATTTTTAAAATAATCAATTTTTCGGAGTCGATCTGTACGTTCCGAAATCGATTAAGAATCAATCCTTGACATTCGATTTTATGGTTAGATGACTAGTTTCAAGTACTACGTACGATTATAATATCATAACAATCCGTCTGATAGAAGATCATGCAAATATACTTACAACTAAATAATAATATTATTTCAATATATGTATTAATATGGCGCCTAGCGCCGTGTGGATATATTTAAAAAATGTAAATAATGGATCTAATTTCAGGTGTAATAAATGTGCGAAGCAGCTGAAATATTATAACAGTACGACAAATTTGATTAAACATCTAAATTAAATACACAAAATTTATTTAACTGTTACCAAATATAATATAATGGCACTAGAACAACGAGTGCGAAAGACAGTTACGATGAAACATTATCAGTTCCACACCTAAACAATTAAATAATATATTTATATTTATATTAAGTTTTTTTTATTTGCGTTTCCATATTACTAATTTTATCAATTTAATGATAAAATTTATACTCCTTTTATATTCTATCATCATTTGTTTACAGCGCTGTTTATCAGAAGCCTCTAATCAATTGGTTCTTTTAAGTACTACTTAATAAATTTTATGGCATACCGATTATATAAATAAATTTATTAACAATAAAAATTATTAATCTTCTGATATAGAAGCGGTTCAAATCGAAATAACCGATTATTGTGCTCGACCAATCGATTTTTACGATCGAAAAATATAAAGTCGATATCGAAATTAAGAATCGATTTTTTATAAAATGTTTCCATTCCTAATCCGAATTCGAACTCGAGCGAACCGGTTTGTATACAGCTGATTGCAGTGTTGCTTACGGAATTTCGAACAGTAATATTTTTAGTACTCAAGTGCTAAAAATGCCGTGCTTGAGTTTTTGTATTGTATATAAATTTGAATTATTTTTAAAATATTTAAAAAACGTTTTAGTAATTAATTGCGTATACATATTAAGTGTGGCGCACTCGGTACTTTGATTTTTTGAGTAAATGAAACACAATTTGATTCACAAAAAAAAAACATTAACCCGGCAAGGTAGCATATTGCATTTTCCAATGAACTTTCGTCAATTCCTATAATGTTCTGCTAAAAACCGGTTTTGACTTAATATTTTAAAGGTGACTTATACTGAAAATAGTTTCCGCGCTAATTATAATTTACAAAGGATAACGTAAACTGATTTTTGTACTTAATAATTATACTCTGAACAGGGTATATTAAGTTCCTGCATGAAAAACGTTTTTAATTGACAAGGTAGTTTCACAAAATTTGGCACAGATTATATTTCTAGAGAGCACTACACTTAAAGATAACTGTAGCTTATAGCTGCCATACAAACTGGCCGATCAAAGTCAAGTCTCTGTGGAAAACTTTTTTATTTGACGAGATATCTTCACGAAATTCGGCATATATTATTGATCAAGGAAACGGTACAATCTCCGAACAAATTGTTCAGATCGGACATATTAAATATCGGATATTGAATATAAAATCAAGATAAAGATAATTTTATACCATTTTTTGATATAAGAAATTAACCTGTCAAGGGTATTATAGCCGAAGTTAACATGTTTTATTTCTTACTTTTTAATATTTTTTAATATTGCCTTTTACAGTTGCTAAATAAAACATCTCTAGGTCAATACATGAAAACAGTTACATGTTCCTTAATTAAATATATTTTTTATTTCTCTAAAATGTAATGAGGTACAAAAGTCACTTCACTTAATTATTAATAAACCGTTAAAAATGTTTGAGATTAGCCGACTCTCCGCGTTTGCCCCACATTACGTGCCACTTCGGCGCGATAACGAAAGAGTGGACGGAATACATTCACTTCAGCTAGTTCCATATCGAAATCCACATCGACAGGCTCATTGAGTTGTGCTTCGGACAAAGCACGACGCGCACGCTCATTAATCTCATATGGAATTGGCTCTTCGAGAATGGGTTGCAGAACTAGAAAAGCATTTAAGTCTTTTAATAAGTTTTGTTGTTGCATTTCCCGTAGTTTTGTGTCGAGCGTGTCGGGCTCTACTGCAGTAGCAGTTGTGGTAGGTCGGAGATTCTCAACGCTGTTGTCATCGGAAAGAGGGCGTGCATGTGCAAGTCCGATGAGAGCGCACAAAATCATATAGCAGATGTTTTGGCACTGTAAATAATAATGTAATCGATAACAAGCTTAATTAGAGTCTGCTAAAATGTTTAAATATTAGTTGTAAATTAAGGAGAAAAGCAAAATTTTCCAAGCAACTTACATTAAGATTCTGCATACTAGTGTTTTTGCTGCTGTATCGTTATTTTATGACTTTAAAGTTGATATTCTCTGCAGGCGTTCGTATTGCACTCTGGCCAATTAACAATGTTTTGTTGAAATACGAAAGTTGCAGCAGTCTTTTATAGTTAGAAAACTTGTGAAATTTTCTAAGCTTTTTCGCAAAAAAAGAAATAGAAATCAAAAGCGAGTGCATTTTGCATATCTAAGTATGGTACATACATACATATTTTTTTACCACACACTGCGTAGCTCCAGCTGCTTTCAATAATTTACGCCGTCGCAATTATTAAATTAATTTCTGGAAATTATTTTCGTAGTTTAGTCAAGTTTCAATAAAATTATTTTTTTTTTTTTTGTTTAATTTTAAGGATTAAAAACGATTTATTTCGATTTCTGCCAAAACTACAAATCCTATGTTCTAGATAATAAAAAGATCTACAAATTTCACATAACCTAAACATTTTTGTGATAAATTATTATAGCCAAGTTTTTCGTTTTGTAATTTTAGCTTTTACAATTTTTTTTTTTAATTTGGTTTGCACTTAGCTTTTTATGTCCTAAGCAAACTAGAATTTTTTTGATTCAAAATATTTATATTTTATCTTATTTTATTCGAAAATTCTTATGTCAAAATCACATTTTTAATACTATACACATACTATAAAATATTATTTAAGATTTATAACTTATTCATAATAATTTTAAAACAATTTATTAATATCTACATCAATTCGCAATCTATTTCCCACAAAAAAACCCCTTCCGCTTCCTAAGTTGAACGTCCGGCACGTAAGATTATTTTTCAGCGCCGTCCACATTCATTATTGCGGCCAAACCAACGCTTTGTTTTCTTCGAAATTAATTAGTCCAATTAACGGGCATTGAGCTTTCAGGTTTCGCACTTTTCGACGCAATTAACAGTTGACACAGCAATTAAGCGTTTTGCAAATATAATATAATATCTATTTGTGTTAAATATTGTTTTTATAATAAGTGCAATAATATTATTCTATTCAAGTACTCGTGTAAATGACTAAATCTTGCAAAGGGAAATGGTTTTTTTAGTGAGTTTCTTTGCCGGCAATGCAACAAACAAATTGCCGAAAATTTAGTGCAAGCAGCAGCAAGCCCAAGCGCGCAGCTTCGTAACATGCTCGTGAAGGTGAGTGAAGTGCTTGCAGCTTGTGTACCTAGATATACTGTAGCTATGTGTTGCTTCAGTACATACAGTTACTGAGCTGGTGTAGCCTCCGTGATTCTCTCGTTTCCTTTACGCACTGGGTTCGTTTTCATCACTTGAAAAAATCATGTTTGTATGTATTACATATGGTTTTGGTGAATGTAATAAGCATGTGTTAAGTAGCACACACTGTCAAAAACGTCACTAAAGCTGCTCGCGACCCCCATTTTTTTTTGTAGATATTTGATAATATGGGTTATATGCATAATATCACGTATTGCTAAGTGAATTCACATGCCGTTTATTAGTAATAGAATGCAAGTAATATGCGTGAGTAATTTTAAGTAACAGTTTAAGTTGTGATTTGCCAATGAATAGTTATGTTAGTATATTGTGTTTTACCACTTTTTTTCACATAACCCCAAAATTTTTATTAAAATTCAAATAAATCAAGTTTTTTGGGTTCTTATTTTTAACCTTTTAACAAAAATGTTGTTTATTTACCAAAGTTGAAGCAAACGAATCCTTCTTTCTTCTGCTTTATTTTTGTTTTTAGTTATTTTTCTCCTCATATTGACTTATATTGGAAAATCACCCTATTTCTAGTGAGTTTCATTCCTTTTGTTTTTTTTTTTAACGAACTATTTTTAATTAGATTAATTAACCATATAACATTTAAACAACAAAAAAGGCGCTAACTTCGACCTGCACCGAAGCTATAATACCCTTCAAAAGTTGCATTTCTTAAAAACATGATCTAATAATACTTATCTAAGACGAGGCGCAATAATCTATGCCAATTTTTTGTGAAGATATATTGGCCAAATGAAAAAATTTATTCTTAAAAGAACTTAATTTTGATCGGTATTTTATGGCAGCTGAAATGCTACAGTGTCACGATATTCGACGTGCGCTTCTGAACAAAAGGGAAAACCGTGTATCAAAATTTCCGGATCGATATCTCAAACTTTAAGGGACTACTCTGTGTACAATACAAGACGTACATACCTCAAATTGACGCAGCTCGTCCCTGCGTGAGCCTTTAAGAGGTCGCCGATGTTTCCTTTTTTTAATTTACAAACTTTTTGGCAAAGTTTATGGAAAAATCTCTCAGAGATATTTTTTGAGAAGTATTGCCAACTGTTTGAAAATTATACTACAAGAATATAGTAAATAAATAAGAACAAAGGTTTTTGAACAAAGTATTTGAAGTGTGATAAACTATTTTCACTAAGTTTATTTAGTGCATTTAAAGTTATGAAAAGGGAGCCATATTCGCCTTATAAAACGCATTACGAATAAAACTATTTTCTTCATTGAATTCAATTCTACTCGTACATCATACTCAAATAAATTCAGTAAACTGTTTCGAAAAAAAAGTAAAATATACATATGTAAGGAAAAATAATTTGAAAAATTTTTTTCAGCTTTATGCTTACATATATAACATATCTAGGTACGTGCCCCAAACTGAATAAGTTTGGATTAATTTTGCAATCAAGAAAAAAATGAGTACCATTCGGTAATTAAACATGACCCATGCGCAGTGATTAGATTCTTTGTTTTGGAAAAGGTTTAAAAGCAGGAAGGCATTATGAACAATTGTTAGAAGTATAATAAAGAAAGTCCCTCACCTCCAAACGCACCGTTGAATTTGGGCTGGTAATTTAAACGTGTCGTACTAGGCTTGAAGACAACACCACGCGAAGGACGATAAAAAACCGCAACCACAAACCGGAATTGCTCAATGATTCATAATTCATTCATATATTGTTAGTGAAGATCCAAAGTTTGACTAAGCGTGAAATTGCTAATGCCATAGGCCATTCAGACGAACGAGTGTTTTTATTTTACATGGAGAATTATGTACATATGAAAAAGCTGTTTGGAAGTAGTGCCCGCACATCGTTAAACAAATTCAACAAAAACTGGATCAAAAACAAATTTCCACATAATTTGGAGCGTTTTAAGCAGAATAAAACGATTTCTTGCATGATTTATAACTATGGATGAGACTTAGATCTACCCCATATCCTAAATTGAAAGAAGAAACGCTTATAGTGACTGAAGCTGGTTGTTCAGCTCCAAAGCAGGTGAAGGCATTCAGTTTTTGGAATGCAAAATCAATTTTTTTTTCGATTGATTATCCGCAGAAAGGTTAAAAAAAAGCTCTAAGTAATATTTAATGCAGCCTTTTTAATCAGCCGGAATGAAAATATTCGTCAGAAAAGACCAGGTTTGCAAAAACCATTTTTCATCAAGAAAATTCCACCTGCCACAAAGGTGTCTTAACAATGACAAAATTCAACGAATGAAAGTACGAATTTGCTGAGCATCCACCGTATTCACCGAGATTGGCTCTCAGCGACTACTTACTCTTCAGAAACCTGAAACAATTCCTTCGTGGAAGCGTTTTTTCGTCGAACGAAACGCCGGGTACAGGCGGGTATTTTGCAGAGCTTTCGGAAGTCATTATAGGGAATGGATAAAATTATGGAGGATCATTGGAAATGTGTATCAAGTTAAAGGAGATTGTATTGAATTGGAAAATATAATATTTCGTACAAAAACAGTATTTTTTAATTTTGGAGCCGGCAGAAACTTTTCAACCCACATGTAGTTTAATTATAATTTTTTAACCCGTTATTTGTGTGTTCCGCTTAGTCTGGTATACTTACGATTTTTGGAAATTTTTTAGATGTTTAAAAAACTATATAAAAGTGCTAATCCAACAATTTTAATTCAAAAAACATTATATTTCTTCGCTTTAATTTTAATATAATATTTATTTGTTTATTTTTTAATTTTTTTGAATCATAATTATTTTTTATTTTTATTTTTAATTTATACTTTTTAATAACAATACCAACTAAAAGAGTAAACATTTTAACTGTTAAGTAATAGCTATTGATTTGTATTGGTGTTTTTTTTTATTAAATATTATACATGCATACATACATACACCATCAATTCAAAGAGAAATACTTATTAATACTTGTTTAATTGGTTGCTTCCCACCTTGATTTATTGTTGATTTTGCGCGTTCCTTTTGTTTCACAATATTTATGTATATCTCAATGCTTTACTTTCAAATGTGTACTATATCTGTAGCAGCAGTTATATTTATAAATTTTCTGCATGGCTAGTTGGTTGCTCACAAAACATGTCAGCCATTTTTCCTTTCGAATGAATTTATTGATGGAAAATGAAATAAAATATCAGGGGAATTTCAAAAGGAAAATGGCTGACATGTTTTGTGAGCAACCAACTAGCCATGCAGAACATTTATAAAATTAACTGCTGTACAGATATATGTACACATTTGAAAGTAAAGCATGAGTATCATAAATATTTTGCAACACAAAAGGAACGCGCAAAATCAACAATAAATCAAGTGGAAGCAACAATAAACAAGTATTAATAGTATTTCTTGAATTGATGTGTGTATGTATGTATGCATGTATAATATTAATAAAAAAACACCAATACAAATCAATAGCTATTACTTAACAGTAAAATGTTTACTCTTTTAAGTTGTATTGTGTATTAAAAAGTATAATAAAAAAAAATAAAAATAATTATGACTTCAAAATTAAAAAATAAACAAATTAAATATTATATAAAATAAAGCGAAGAAAATAATGTTTAATTAAATTGTTGGATTAGCACTTTTATATAGTTTTTAAACATCTAAAAATTCAAAATAATCGTAAGTATACCAGAAACGCACACACAATAACGGTAAAAATTAATAATAAACTACATGTTGGTTGAAAAGTTTCTGCGCTCAAAATTAAAAAATACTGTTTTGGTACGAAATATATATTTTAATTCAATACAATCTCCTTTAACTTGATACATTATTTAATGACCTCCAATAATTTTATGCCATCCCTATAATGACTTTCCGAAAGCTCTCAAAATACCCGCCTGTACCCGGCGTTCGTTCGACGAAAACGTTTCCACGAAGGAATTGTTTCAGGTTTCTGAAGAGTAAGTAGTCGCTGAGAGCCAAATTGGTGAATACGGTGGATGCTCAAGCAATTCGTACTTTAATTCGTTGAATTTTGTCATTGTTAAGACACCTTTGTGAGCAGGTGAATTTTCTATGAAAATGGTTTTTGCAACCTGGTCTTTTCTGACGAATATTTTCATCCGGCTGATTTAAAAGGCTGCATTAAA